CAGTGCGATCGGCCCCTTAGCGCCATCGTACATGGCTTCACGGTTCGGCTCGCCCTTTCCCTTCAGGATGGCGACGACCGTCTTATGCAGCACGATCGGCTTCTCAGCGCCATCGTGTCTCTTTCACGTTCGGATCGCCCCATTCCCTCCAGGATGACGACGAACGTCTTATGCAGTGCGATCGGCCCCTCGGCGCCATCGTACCTGGCTTCACGGTTCGGCTCGCCCATTCCCTCCAGGATGGCGACGAACGTCTTATGCAGTGCGATCGGCCCCTCAGCGCCATCGTACCCAGCTCACGTTCGGATCGCCCCATTCCCTCCAGGATGGCGACGAACGTCTTTTGCAGTACGATCGGCCCCTCAGCGCCATCGTACCTGGCTTCATGGTTCGGCTCGCCCATTCCCTTCAGGATGGCGACGACCGTCCTATGCAGCACGATCGGCTTCTCAGCGCCATCGTGTCTCTTTCACGTTCGGATCGCCCCATTCCCTCCAGGATGGCGACGAACGTCTTATGCAGTGCGATCGGCCCCTCGACGCCATCGTACTTGGCTTCACGGTTCGGCTCGCCCATCCCTTTCAGGATGGCGACGAACGTCTCTTATGCAGCACGATCAGCGCCCCAGCGCCATCGTGTCTGGCTCACGTTAGGGTCGCCCATCCCTTCCAGGATGGCGACGAACGTCTCTTATGCAGCACGATCAGCGCCCCAGCGCCATCGTGTCTGGCTCACGTTAGGGTCGCCCATTCCTTCCAGGATGGCGACGAACGTCTCTTATGCAGCACGATCAGCGCCCCAGCGCCATCGTGTCTGGCTCACGTTAGGGTCGCCCATCCCTTTCAGGATGGCGACGAACGTCTCTTATGCAGCACGATCAGCGCCCCAGCGCCATCGTGTCTGGCTCACGTTAGGGTCGCCCATTCCTTCCAGGATGGCGACGAACGTCTCTTATGCAGCACGATCAGCGCCCCAGCGCCATCGTGTCTGGCTCACGTTAGGGTCGCCCATCCCTTTCAGGATGGCGACGAACGTCTCTTATGCAGCACGATCAGCGCCCCAGCGCCATCGTGTCTGGCTCACGTTAGGGTCGCCCATCCCTTTCAGGATGGCGACGAACGTCTCTTATGCAGCACGTCTGCCCCTCGGTGCTGACATGCCCGTTTTATCGATGAGAGCCACCGCTTTCTATCACATCTCACATTCCTTCTCTCATACATTGCACTCATACATTACATGCATTCATGCATTCATGCATCATACCTCATACATTCATACATACACACGTGCATCATGTTTTGACAGTACCGCGATGTCAGTTTATTGATGCATGGACCTCTAAGCTTCTCCGTTGGAAAGCTCGAGTCAGAGTCCTTTACTCTCGCCTGATGCATTCAGGGGGGAGCGTGCCCGTGGAGGAGCACCTTTCGCCCGACCCCATCGGGAACGGGGGTGCCTCACCGGCAGATTACGTTCAGGAGTGTGGACATCCACCCATATATTATGATTATTCGAAGACACAGGTTCCAGCTAGACCGAGGTAAAGCGCAGGCAAGAGTATATTTTCTCGAGCAGATTCGCACGCTCACTACTCAAGAAACTGGGGGACTTGTGTTGGGATATATTATCCCGGCCTATTACTGTTCAAGAGCCCAAGATATTATCCAGTACGGAGCCCGAGTAGCTAGGTCCATTTCGGCCCATTCTGGCCCACTTCGGCCCATTAGGCCCAATATTGGCCCGTTTGGCCCATTAGGGTGGGGAGCCCCTTCTCACTTTTCCCCTATAAATACGGAGCTTAGCCTCCATGTAATGGATCGCTTTGGATCCCTTCCTTCTTTCTCCTTTTCTCTAGATTAGCTTTATCCTCCATTAATGGAGCTTCAGCATTTGTAACTTGTAATGGTGAGGAGAGTCCTAATGAGAATGAGAGGGCTTGGACATTAGCCTAAAAAGTCCCGTGGTTTTCTCCCTTTCGGGTTTCCACGTAAAAACTGAGTTGTTCATACACATTTATACATATATTTACTATATCGTGTTGGATTAAGCTCAACATATGAAATTTAATCATTTCCTATGTAAGAATTCAGTTGTCGTAATGTAATAATACGAAGTGTAAATATACATTTAGCAAAAAAAGAAACAAAAGTTATGTTATCAGACCCAAACCGGCCTGGGAGGGTCGACCCACTTGGCATATCGGGCCGATTAGGACCAAACCCACAAATCATGAAAATTCGCTTAGACCTATTGTTATCTAGGAATTTCAAAAGACACCGGCCTTTATAATTTCAGTTTAAGAATTTAAATCTTGGATTTTTTTCATTACAACAATTCACCTTTTTTTATGAATAAAATATATTTTAAATTTAACTTTTCATAATTCAATAGAATCAACCAATTTAGTTATTACGGCAAGAACTTCATCAATTTCAGCAAATTCAGTGGAGTCCGTCAATTTCAATGTTACTAATTGGCTCTTAATAAATTTCACAGCAATTAGTTTAAGATTTTTCAAGCTTATAAAATTTAAACAAATAGTCACAAAATTGTCTGTGTTGTTGTTTTAAAATATGCTTAAGAATAAAAAATCTATTGAAATAAATAGGACCCAAAAACTTAACCTCAATTAAAAGTGATGCATTGTAAATGTTTTTAAAAAAAAATAACAAAATCATATTAAAAAGAAATACAGTTCCAGAAAATATGTACACGTAAATTGCTAATTGCTAATACAATGGCAAAATGCAATTCCATCCCCCGCTCCTTCTCGATGTATACCCACCCCGAGCTCCAATCCCTGTTCTCAATGTCATAATCTCCTTACTTCTTCTCCCTTTCATCGCACATTTAGAGCCCGTTTGGTAACCCAAAATCGGCTGATTCTGCTGAAATTTATGAAGTTCTGGCTGAAGTGGCTGTATTGGTTGATTATGCTGATTTAAGAATTTTTTTAAAAAATATATTTTATTAATAAAATAAAGAAAAAATTATATGTAAAAATAGCTAAAATAGTCATCTACAGTAACTTCAGCCAATACAGCCAGAAAAGTAACTTCAACCTTACTTTTTCTGATTATTACACAATTCAGCGCGCGCAAGCAAAAATTACGTGTTTGGTGAAAAAGTTGGCTGATAAACCTGATAAGCCGAAAACCAGTGTTGCCAAACGGCCTCTTGACTCTTTGTTTGTTGTTGTCTTACGTATTTTTTCTCATTAATTGCCACAACAGAATTGTCAATAGCACAAACTTCCCCCTCTTTCATCGCATCCTTATACTGAGCAATCAAAAATCTTCTAGTCCATCATTGCATGGATCCGATCTCGCTACCATTTTAAAAGTCACAAATGCTCAGAGCACAAATATTATTAATTATTAACAAATGAATTAAGCTGACAATTATAATAAACATATACCTCTCTGTCGTGAAACACACATTCAAAACTCGTGATATCGCCTTGTTCACTCCGAAAGTAGTACATGCACGCAAGCCTTAGCCTTAAACCCCAAGTTGTTGATTGAGGAGATACATCCCTAATCAAACCGAACAAAACCACCATTTCCAGTCAAATGTTAAACTGGAGGTCTGGAGTGATGCTTAGGTAGCTATTTGCTACGGTGGGCGGCCGGAGTGATGCTAAAGTCCCTATATATTAATTTATACGAAGTAGTAAAAATTGTAACATTTGGCTCCTATTTAATGTTGAACTTATGATGCACATTTTTTTAGAAGATCAAAAAGCAACTTAAAAGCAGCTGCACGTTTTCCTAAACACTCTAGAAGCCATTAGCCTTCTAAGTAACGTTGCACAATATTCGAACAACACATTTATGTAGAGACATCCTGGGATGTTTAATGGACAAATTAATAATTGACAAAAGCCTTCTAATTGATCATTGCACAATATTCAAACCATCTGGGAAGTTCAAAAACTAACTACCAGTTGACAACACATTTATACTTGCACAATATTCAAACAACAAAAGACATTATTGCATCGAAACCATTTTTCACTCGTGCTACATCCATTACACAAACTTCCCGCCCAAAATCCCGCCCAAAACACCTCCACACTTTTCTGTTTTACTATATATATAGATATAGATATAGATAAAGTACTTTTGACAAAGATCATTTTCTCTAACTTATAGATAAACATAAGGAAAATGCTAGGGGTAAACAAGTTATACACAACTTGTACACACAATGTCGGTCACAGACAATTGGTATGAAGTTGCCTGTGACCACAGACAAGAGTTGTCTATGTACACAGACAAATTTTGTCTGTTTCCACAGACATTTACTTTTTTGTAAAAAGTACTTGTCAGTGTCAGACGGCTCTCAGTGTACTTTTTACAAAAAAGTAAAGGTCTGTGGAAACAGATAAAATTTGTCTGTGTACACAGACAACTCTTGTCTGTGGTCACAGGCAACTCCGTACCAATTGTCTGTGACCGACATTGTGTGTACAAGTTGTGTATATCTCGTGTACCCCTAGCATTTTCCTAAACATAAAATGGTATTATCAAACTTATAGTTAAACATAAAATACATTTATTTTAAACATTTTTTGAATTGCAGACTTTTCTCTAACCTAATATCAACAATATAAAAAATACGGAGTAAGAAACATCAACACATGCTTTAATTTGTAACAGGGATATATGAAATACTTGTTTAGAATTGCTTCATCGAAAAAAGATTGTATAACAACTACAACGAGAGATGATATACTCCGTAGTACTTTTGTGCATATACTGAGTATAACTAATTGATGGATATTTTCTAGGTGGTATAAACAATCCATACCCATCATTTTTTTTATGGTAATCCATACCCATCATAGAAAAACGAACTTTAAATTTAGGATATATACATGTGGTCAATGTGCATGGTGACTACTTACTAGTTACCATAATTCACGTCAATGACAAACGACCATTCTATAGTTTTTTTTTGGCAACTCCGACCATTCTATTGTTGGTAAGTGCCGTACGGTGAGATTTATGTTTTTTTATATCATCAAACGGGCCTCTATTCATATCAAAAGATTCGGGATCATTACATCAAGCAAAAGGAAAATAAAACTGACACCAACTGAAACTTCAACAACTACGACTGTAACCCTATGGTGAGACTTTGAGACGGTCACCCCTGAGAGAGCAACACGAATCGCTAACCATGTAGTGGGCTTGACACAACCAAACTTATTCCCATAGATCCAACCATACTCAATGACATAAAGACAGACAAAAAACTCAAACAAACTGTCAAAACCAACAACAAAAGTGGACACAAGAAAACAAATAACAAACAGATAAAAACTACAAGAAAAGCGTTCACGAACTCTAGCACCTCGTCCATCCCATGGTGGTGGTTCAGGAGGAGGTCTTACCACCGGTACCATGCTAATTGATACTCCGTGACCTTTGGCTGCCAAAGGCCATGCATCAATCCTCCGTCCCTGCATAACCAAACTCATCTCTGCCCCATGCAACCAGAGTAAACGGATAGGCGGCGCCGATCTTCTCCAATGACGACAGCAACGCATCATCCTCGAACCTTGACCACAACGCCGATCTCCTCGAGCCATGACAGCACATCCGCCCTTCGAGGACGAAGCACAAACAACAACAGCCGTCCTTCGATTAAAATCAAAGACGGAAATAGCGGCCATCATTCGATTAAAATCGAAGACGGAAAAAGCGGCCGTCCTTCGATTAAAATCGAAGACGGAAAAAGACTCCAAGCGGCCGAAGCCCTAGAGAGAAGCTATCCCACGTTACTCGGCGACAGAAGGTTTTTAGGAAATTAGCAATTACTCTGTTTAGATAATTTGTAATTTGTATGCATCCCCAAATCCCAATTAAGTTTTGAGTTTGACATTTATCGTATGATCTTTATGTGCACGGCGTAGTCAGGATCGAAACTTCACATGAGCCGGTATAAAAGTTTTCCAAATAAACTTTTACACATATACTCCCTCCGTAACATTTATATCTTCTCACTTTCCTTTTTTGGACGTAACATTTATATCTTCTCATTTCTAAATCTTCCCATCATACCCTCAATAATTTAAAAAATAATACACTACTACACCTACTTTTTTTTATTTATCCTTCATTCCATCACATTATTTCACCGTCTTTCCATCATACTCTCAATAATTCATACTTTATTTCACTATTCTTAATCTCACCCACTTTGGAAGTGGGAAGATATATCTGATACGGAGGAAGTATTTTAATAATTTTAAATTTAGCGTAGACTAGGGCGTCATTGACCCCTCTATATTCTCCGCCCCTGTTCATGTGGAAATGTGACCATAAATATTTAAAAATATATACTTATAAAATTTAATATAAATTAACATGCATTTAATAAATAATATATATTGCAATGAATTATATTAAATTAACAGTCAAAATTTATAAAGTAGGGAACCTAATTGAATGACAAAAGAGTGTTTTCTTTTAATGAGAGAAGAGTGTTTGATTAAAGTATAGTGTTTTTTCCAAAAATATTGTTAAATAAATAAATATTTCTAAAAATAGTGTTGGGTTAAAAGTATTTCTCAACATACTACTAGAATAACCATAGTTAAAGAACCGCCACTTCAAGTGGTGGCTTATATGCATTGAAAAACTAACGCACGATACAAAGCCAGGGGATAGAGAAGTTGAGGCATGGTCCACCATCATATAAAATATCATGATTTTTTAAAGTGGTATAACTTTTTTATTTGTATTCCGATTGATATAAAAATTATATCAAAATTCATAACTTTTTATTATCTTTCATATGACATCAATATTGAATATATAAAAATTAAAAAATAATTTGACACTATTCATTTGAAGTGTCAAATTATTTTTTTATTTTATATATTCAATATTGGTGTCATATGAAAGATAATAACAAGATATGAATTTTGATATATTTTTATAACAATCTGAGTACAAATAAAAATGATATAGCGCTTAAAAAGTCGATATTTTAAAAGTGTCAAATTATTTTACATTTTTATATACACAATATTGATTTCATATGAAAGACAATAAAATATAATAAATTTTGATATTTTTTTATAACGATCATAGTACAATTCAAAAAGGATATAACGCTTTAAAAGTAGATATTTTTAAAATGTCAATTTTTATTTTTATTTTTATATATTCAACATTGATGTCATATGAAAGATAATAAAAAAGTTATGAATTTTGATATATCTTTTATAACAATCGGAGTACAAATACAAAAGTTATAATAGTTTAAAAAAACATGATATTTTATTTGGTGGTGGACCCATGACTCAACTTCTCTTCACTCTTGGCTTTGTACGTGCGTTAGTTTGTCTACGCATATAAGCCACCACTTCAAGTGGCGGTTTTGCGGTTATTCCTGCAGTATTTTGGGAAATACTTTTAACTCAACATTATTTTTAGTACTCCCTCCATCCCGAAAACAACTTCCCACTTTCCTTAAATAGATGTCCCAAAATTAACTTCACACTTCAATACTTTCCTTATTTGGCAAATTATCTACATCAAAAAAGTGATAAACAGTGCCAAACAGTGTTTAAACAGTGCTAAACAGTGTTTGAATAGTACAAAACAATGCATTCTACAGTAAAGTCAAATTTATTTCCTAAAAGTGTGTGAAAGTCCAACCGGGAAGTTGTTTTCGGGACGGAGGGAGTAATATTTATTTATTTATTTAGCAGTATTTTGAGAAAAAACTGTAAAATATTCTCCATAACATTTATTGAAGAATATTTATTAATTATTGGTAGGGAGTAATTCAAGAGTTTGTTACCCGTTAGTGTCAATCTAGCTTTTATCAATCTCTAGAGTCTAGACTAGAAACCCCACCATCCATTTTGATGTATAAAAACAATCGCACCATGCGCCGTACATTTCAACGCGTAATCAAACTTTAATTCTAAAGAAAAGAAAAATACTTTTACTAGAAACTAAATCATCTCCAAACCCCCTTGGCCCCTTTTCGGAGTCTTGCTTTTGGGAAAAAATAATTCTCGTAGAAATTATAAAAGCTTGCTTTACCATATAATCAAAATCATTTTAAAACTAAGCAAGAATATCAACTTTTAAAAACAGAGAATTATCTTAAGGTGCGCGGCAATGACGTTTAAAAATAGTGAAATTCTTTTGACCCTTTATTTCTTTGTGCTGTTCTTAGCCACCGCACAGGCGGTGGCGCGGAAAGAGCTCCAAGAAGCTTCTCCTTCGCCAGAGGCAATTGCAGCTGGTACGTATTCAATTCTATTACGTATATACGAAGTATTATCTTTATGAAGTCAAGTCAACCCGCATTTGTTAGTTGCATCCGAAATGCGCAAAAATCACATAATTTTCTTACCTCTAGGTTCCCCTTACATCTATTATTAATTCATCTTTTAAGAGAAAACTTGGAGGGATTTTTGGATCACAAAGGTGGATTGGCCGAAAGGTATAGAAAACTGCATTGTGTTACCATAATCTAGATTTTTTCTTTCTTTTATTTTTTTGCATTTTAGTCTTAACACCATCAAGATTTTAAACATGCGATTTGGATAATCGATGTCGATGTTTTATTACGTACTCCGTGTATTTTAAACTAACTTCGATTTTTAAGATCATAATCATGCACGTTTTTTATTTTAATTCTTAAACATGAGCATTTAGCAATTTTTAGATCTCATAAAACTGACATGTGACGTTTATTGATCTTTGATTTGAATTCTAAAAAAACATTATATCAAAATAAACTTTGAAATATTGGTCTTTGAAAAACGGTCTAATTTCCCAAAACAAAATAAACTAGACTATTTTGTAAATTTATTTAACATTATTTTTTGAAAGCAATTTATTCATTTTAACTTATAGAGCCAAAATATGCATTTACCCAACGTAACCAAGTAAGCGTGTACTAAGATTTTGCTTCCATTTGAACTTATGTCCTCAAATTTTCTTCTCATTTGTTGTCTTTGCGCAGTTGACATTGTGGCCTTTTTTTTTTAATTCAACTCTGAATTGTTGGCCTTATTTGATCAACTTTGGTCTATTTAAGTCTGATTTAGTCTGGTCTGATCTGCTAGATGTTTACTCAATGTGTATTTTACAACTGTTGAAATCTAGAATGTTCAATTATGATTTGTTTACGTTTGATTATGTCTATTCTCATATGTTTAATTTTGGTCTAGTTTGATCTCGTCTGATCTGGAAATGAAATCAGTTCAATTAAAAAATATGCGTTTTCAAATTTCTAATAAGCCTCTAATGAGAAGAATATTTTGAGTTAGCGGGACTATTGCATGTATCCTCCATCCTTTCTTATACTTTGATGGACATTAATATATTCGAATATGAATGAACAAAAATTATAAAATATTGATATTTTCTAAAGTAAAATGGCATTTGTATGCACATTGGGTTAATTTAATAGGATCCTACACAATATATCACTTTATTTCAAGTTAAATATTGCTCGATTCGTTTAAGTTTAGTCGAATCTATTAAGTTTAGTTTAGTCTTATATAACCATAAATCTAGTCTGAGACTAGATTTTGTGTGTGCATATTCCTCTAAACATGCTACTTATTGTATTATCTATTCTATTTAATGTCAACATTCTTAATTGGGATAGAAACTTGAACATATGAAAACATGCTATGAAAACATACCTACTTATATTCCGTATTCACTTGGAATGATCTCCTTATATTCCGTATATATTTTCAGCACAAAATTGCATTTCTTCCGATCCCATTCTTTATTACTCTGTATTCATTCATTTCATCGTTTCATTTATAGAAATTACTTCAAATAGGACTAAAACTATGGCAAAAACTCAAAATAGGACTTGCTATGTTTTTTTTCCAAAATAGGACCATAGTGGTCCTATTGGAAACATACTCATTTCTTCCTTCCATTCTTACCCCTCCTTTAAATATTAGTAAAAGATAGCTAAAAGTCATAATTAAATGTTTAATTCATAATAAATTCGAAAAAATTTCAATAATTCGTAGAAAAATATTAAAAAAATTAATAAAATTTTTATAAAATAAAAAATAAGTAAAATTTTTTTTTTTTATTTTTTTTATTTTTTAAAAAATTAATAAAAAAATAGTAAAACTCCATAAAAAAAATTAAAAAAAATATGGATACGTTTCCCACCGCCTGTACTACCTCCCTGAACCATCACCTCCGATCGGTGTAAAAAATGCCACTTTTTTTTTAAATTCCACAAAAATGGCATATTTCTCTATGAGAATGCCAACATTTTCATTCTGCCAACTTGAATCCTTTTGACTTTTGCCAAAAATATGGCATTCATAATTTTTTTGGCATTTTTTTACCCCGGTGACAGGAGGTGGTGGTACCGCCTCCCTGCACCACCACCTCCGACCGTTAAAAAAAAATGTCATATTTCCTACAAACTTCCATTTTTTTCGGAAAATGCCAAAAATATGGCATATTTCTCTTTGAGAATGCCAACATTTTTTTTCTTCCATCTTAAATCATTCTGAATTATGCCAAAAATATGGAATTCATAATAAATTTGGCATTTTTTCCCCAAATGACTAGAGGTGGTGGTGCTGGGGCGGTATAGGCGACGGTGACAAAAAAAATATTTTTTTGATTTTTTTTTATTTTTTTTATTTTTTTTTATTTTTTATTTTTTTTTAAATTTTTTTTTTTTAAAATTTATTATTATTCAGAATATTTTTATTAATTTTTTGGTATATTTTACGAATTTTTATTATTTTTTATTATTTTATTATGAATTAAAACATTCCAATAGGTATAAGGGTATATTTGTCCAAGACAAACATAATTAGTCCTATGGAAACATAGTTTATTTTTTGGTCCTATTTGTGCAAAGTGTATGACTTTTAGTCCTATTTTGATAATTAACTCTTTCATTTATTAAGAGTACGCAGCTTCAGATCTTTAAGCTCCATCTAATTAACAATGGCAATTGTCTCGCAGAAATGCTCGATTACCCAGAAGATCCCCTTGCAGTGATCATTATAGCTTACGCGAGCAGCGTCACCATCCCCGCAATCGCCTCCATCCTCTTCATCAAGAAATTCATCGATTTCCAGGCCGTCATACTTGTCTGCGGGATCTGCCCCTGGGTTTCCAATGAGGCTGTTCGATCTCACAGCGCCATGTTTCTCCTCATCCAAATAGCGCTAAATTTCATCGGATTTTGCTGCTGGATCTTTTTATGTGTCAGAAACGCGAGGCTGAAAAATGGGCGGCCGTCGTCGGAGGTGGTGTTTGAAACGGGGGCTTGGTTTTTTGCGCTGGGGTTGAGCGGGATTGAGATCGCGCTGAGGCTGATTCTCCGTGACAGGAAGTTTCATAAGGTGGCTTCTTGGTACCCGGCTGGGATGTCTCTGCTTTTGTTCGTGGGGAATTATTGGAGCAGAGGTAGGGCAATGAGAGCATCTGCTACACACTGAGCTTTTGAGAAATTTGAGAAATTAATATGGAAGATAGAATAGGTGGAGTAGATTAATATGTGTGTCCCTTGTTGGAAAGGGAATCTTAAAATCTATGTATATCGATGTTTGTCATACATTGATAAATCGGATATCTGGCGATCTGCCAACTGATAAAAAAAATTGCATTTTACTAAGATGATACATTGTTCAAAATATTGCTTAAACTATTTGTCATAAAATATGCATTTTTACAAATAAATTCACTTTTTGTATCAATTTAGACATTGCATTGTCTTAATCTGTGAATCGCCATTAAACATAATGTACATCGTTTCGTGTACATTGCTATTAAGCTGAGACATACGAGTAGTATATTTCACCCGATGATTTCCATGAGCAACTAGTATAGTACTCGTGCAATGCACGGGAATACGGGATATACTATGTTACGGAATATTAATTATTTCAAAGGATTTAAAAGTTTTAGCTACAATTTTAGCATACCAACTATCAAATAGGTTTAAATTGATATTTTTTTATTATCCATAACCATTTGATTAATAAAATAAGTACAGTGATGAATTACCTAAATAGGATTAAAAAATTCGCCAAAAGCACAAATAGATTTACATTTCCTAAATCTCCACAATAGGACTATTTATGTGTGTTTGGACAAATATACTTTTGTAGCTGTTGAAATGTTTTAATTAATAGTAAAATCATAAAAATAATATAAATTGTGAAAAAACTAATAAAATCAAAATAATAAAATATAAAAAATAATGTAAAATTAATAAAAAAAATATTTTTATTAATAAAAATTTATGAAATAAAAATTTTAAAAATTAAAAAAAATTAAAAGGTAAAAGGAAAATTAAAACGTGAAAAAACACCATCGTCTCTGTCACCCCCATCACCACCAGCTCCGATCACCAGAGGAAACATGTCAACATTTTTAGTAATGCCATGATAATTTTTTTATTATGATGCTGGGAGGCGGTGGGAAAGGAATCAATATTTTTACGGGTTTTTTTAATATTTTTTATTAATGTTTTAAAAAACAATTAATTTTTTATTTTTTTAATTTTTTATGTTTTAATGTATTATAATTTTTGGGATTTTTTATTATTTTGTAGGCTTTTTATTATTTTCAAGATTTTATTATGAATTAAAACATTTTGTTATGAATTAATACCCTTACCAGTATTCAGGGTAGAAAATTATTGTTGATTCTACTGGGGATAATTTTTTTGGTTGACTATTGGGGATAATTTAAAAAATAGTAATCCTAATTGTATTTTTAGGCAAACTTCAATCCTATTTATGACAATTTCTAAGCATTACCAATCATTAAAAAAGAGCATATTAACCGAAATAGTACTAAAAATGTTTGAAAATTCCAAAATATGACTGCCATGTTTTTACTCCCACTAATTACTGCCATGTTTTGGCAGTACCAGACTTCAAACATGGCAATATTTTTGAAATAAATAATATTACATCCAGTACAATTTTAATTTTAATTGCATCCGCATAAATGTTTGTGTATTTAATTCATGTACTTAACACATAAAATTACATTTATGAAAAAATATGTAATATAACCATGGTACTAACATAACTTTTTATATAAAATTTAGGATATATATATTACATATGCAAGTTTGGGATACTTATCCCACACTTCTTCAATGTTTAGGATATTTAAATTATTTCCCCATTATAGCTTGCATAATTATACTATGCAGATTTTTAACTGCAAATAGTTCTTGCCCGTTTGAGTCATAATCATAGTGTGCATTACAACATACCTTTCAATTAAATCATGTCAAACAATTAGATTATATAAATGTTATTTTATTGGAAAATTTAATTTAAATCACCAAAAATGCACACACGTACTAATACCTCACTCATCTATGAAACTAATGGAAGTTATGTTTTAGGTGTTGTTCTGTTCGTCTTATTCTTATTACTTATTGCTTATTCTTATTTTATTCAGATCAGATCAGATTAGACCAGAAAAATTCAGATTAGATCAGATCAAAATCATTCAGACCATATCAGAAAGATTCAGATCAGATCAGAAAATTTCAAACATGATTTATCAATTTTATTATTATAAAATAATAATAACAATAATAACAACAACAATTGTTATTATGATTATTACTATTATGATTATTATTGAGGTGATTATTATCATTATTATTATTATTATTAGTATTAGTATTAGTATTATTATTAGTATTATTATTAGTATTAGTATTATTATTACTATTATTATTACTATAAATATTACTATTACTATTACTATTATTATTATTATTATTATTATTATTATTATTATTATTATTATTATTATTATTATTATTATTATTATTATTATTATTATTATTATTATTATTATTATTATTATTATTATTGTTATTATTATTGTTATTATTATTATTATTATTATTATTATTATTACTATTATTATTATTATTATACAGAGTAATTATAATTATAATTACAATTATAATTATAGTTATAATTATAATCAGTGTAATAGGTATAATTTTTCATAACTTTAATTATAATTATAATTATGATTATAATTATAATTAAATATTTTTAAAATTATGACTATAATTATAAATTATATTTAAATTATATCTATAATTACAATTATAATTATAATAATTATAATTATAATTAAAGAAATAATTAGATCAGATCAGAAAGATTCAGATCAGATCAGAAGGATGCAGATCAGATCAGAAGGATTCAGATCAGATCCGAAAGATTCAGACCAGATCAGAAAGATTCAGATCAAATCAGAAAGTTTCAGATCAGATCTGATCAGATCAGAAAGATTCAGATCAGATCAGATCAGAAAAATTCAGATCAGATTAGATCAGAACTTAATAAATTCAGATCAGAAACATTCAGATCAGACGAAGAGAACGGCTTCTCAGTCATAATCTGTGTTTTTCCCATTCAGATCCACTTCATAAAACTTGTTTGCATTTGCATTTAGATTTATAGCCAATAAAACAAAATACTCCGTAATAATTATGTTGTATTATAGGATGTTTTTACTTGGACTGTAGTTTGCTGGTCTGGTCTGGTCTGGTCTGATCTGATCTGGTCTGGTCTGAACTGGTCTGGTCTGGTCTGGTAAGGTCTGGTTTCTTTGTATTTTTATAACTATCCAAGTCTAGTCTGGTCTGGTCTGGTCTGGTTTGAACTGGTCTGGTCTGGTTTGGACTGGTCTGGTCTGTTCTGGTCTGGGACAAATTACAGTCCAAGTAAAAACATCCATAGTAGTAATAAAAAATATCATCGTACTATGCTCTAAGAAGAGAATAAAACAAAATAAGCTAATTTTTTATACGTAATTACCTTATTAAAGACTTCTAGAAAAATCAATTTACTACATTATCTTTTTGAATTGAATGTGGGCAAATAAGATTAGGATCTGCTACAATAATTCATTCAACATGCCATTTAAACCCATAACTGAATAAAGTAAATTTGACACATCTCATCCTCCACATGTCATAACATAGTGCATCATAGTATTATACTCTCTAATTACGTAGTACTTCTTTGGGTTCAGACTTCCAGCTAGTCATTTTCCATGAAACACGTACCACCTTAACCATATCAATATTTTTTACCTGAATCATTTAACCAAATTACTACAATTTCTCCATTCTCGTCCAAATCTCCATCTATCCCGGCCACTATATACTTCTTATATATAGATAGAATACAGCTAGTAAATCTTCACAATAATATTACATGGAGAATTGTTTGTGAAATCGATTCTTTTCGTAATGCCATGGTGCACAAATGCCACCTTTATATACGTACTGCACAATATGCTTCGGTACGGTGAACTCAAAGACCACACCAATAAAAACCTATTCATGTCTTAGTTAAGTTTTAATGCATCGTTGAACTCGAAGTCGGCTAAATAAATATGCTCCACTATTTACGAAGTTTTTCTTTGAACTAAAATTATCCAGCAAACATTTGTCTTTCACCATTTACGAAGAGTTTTGTAATTTCAAATTTAAACTCGTAGACTTGGCCAGTTGGCCGGCCAACAATCAATTTTTTCCGCCCACTTTTAATTGTTAATAACTTTTATTTATACTAAATAAATATTTGAACACACCTTCCCGCCAAAATTCCCTCCCAATACTCCCCCACACTTTTCTGTTTTACTATATAATAATAATAATATAGATATAGATTCGTTTTCAAACAAAGTGATAGTCAATACTCAATATTAATATGTTTGTTCCGTGTATTTTGAATGAGATTGACGGGGAGATTGGAGCTAGATATATTATCACATAAGAGGGTGACCAGATCAAGAATAGGGATATCCAGTCCATATCAAACAAGGCTAATATGAATAGTGTTGTGAACGGTGTAAGGAATATCCATGTACCAAACTTTTGTCGCAAAGCGTGAGACCGTAAGTTATTTCTTTGAGCGGAAGTATACCAGGCGGGAACTTACAAAAATAGCATAACCCAAAGTAGAACCACAACTATCAAGACAATATGCTGTATGCCCAATCATCATCCAAATCGACAATAATAACTAATGGAGCTCTCCAATATTGACCCAACAACGAGGAGCTCACAGTGAGTAAGAGATAGGGCAATTGGCCGGTGTGCAGGGGTGCACTCCGGGTCTAACGTTGTCCTTGTTCCTGAGCGATTCTAAGCGATTGTCCGGAATTTTTGGACGAGGTGACTGTACGAACAATGAGCGCATTTCTTCATTCTGGATTGGATTTGGTTAAGAGGCCCCAAGTGGTGCGATGGGCTTGGGCCATTTGTGTATCCAAGAGTGTGTGGGTCATGGATCCGAGTCCATATACTCTAGTTGTACAAATATAAATTAGGGAAAAGTTCACTTTATCTTCAATTTAATTCAGCATCATAACTGAAGTGAGATGTCAAGCTGTAAGGTGTAAACATTATGGAAGAATTTGATTTTACACCCCATTTTTAGGGTATATTGACTTTGCATCCTATTTTCAAAATCACTAATGTATGCATTCCGGTTCAAGATCACTATAAAATCATTTGAGCTTGCATCACATTCCTTCATAATTTATGGATTGATGTGGTGCACACATTGAGGATTTTGAAAATGAAGTGCAAAATCTAATATCATCCAAAATATGGGGTGCAAAGTCATATTCTTCTAAAAATTATTCATAAAGTAGTCATAAATTAGATCATTATAATATGCAATATCTCAACTCGAACAAAAGCAAGGAAACCGGTTTATCATATAGTGGCAACTGAATTACAATAATTCAAATTCCATTTTTATATTTAAGTGACTATAAGAGAATACAATTGTAACTATTAATCATGTTTTTCAATAATATTTTTGAAAAAATCTTACGAAAATGATTTAGAAATTGGAATGAAGAATAGATATTGCTCATAGGGGTAGAGACAGGGGAGGCTGGCGGTGGCCTTGGCCCCTACAAGAAAAAAATTGTGAAGTATATACATATGTATAAATATTTATAAGTAGTAAAAAATATAGTGAGAATGTAAGCTTTGACCACTGCTATATAAATTCTTAAGTCCCGGCCCCGTAACCTGCCATTCCTAGCTCCGCCACCTATTGCTTACATGACATTTACATCCGTGAAGGTGCGAAAGCGGTGTATCTCATTGTGTGGGAATTGGGATCATCATCTCTCCCTCAAATTTCACATAGTTGTCAAATTTAGTAATTTGGTCTCTAGCTAACATAGTTGTCTTGCACATAATTTCACATTCACAAGTTTGTACACAGCTACATATAAGAACAGAATAACATATGTTAATGAAAAACCCAAGTCAAGGGCATTTGATTATGTAGACATTAATGAATTCTAAAAACAAAGGGAAACCAAAGATAGTCACATATAAAAAATAAAGGGAGAAGAGTCAGAAATGACACCAAAGTTTTTAATGAATCTCGGATCGAAAACTCAGATTTTTAGTAGACCAAATTGACACAGATTCAACCTTATCCGTTGTATTTCAACCACTCACTAACATTTGCACTAACATTTGCCTTAAACAGAACATTTCCGTTAAACGGCGAGGGATAAGGTTATACATTCAACAAATTATTGAAGGGAAAAGTCCAGATTCCTCGTTACATACTGAGTACTATCCAAATTGCTCCCGTGATCCACCAGAACTTTCAGTTTTTTTTTTCCTCCTTCACGCTGTTATTCTTCTTTCCATGTTACAAGGTTGGCTGCTCATCACCTGCACTCTTCTTTGGCATCTTTGTTTCTCCTCTCCACCATGGCTGCAGTCAAACTACACTTTGAATTCCTCCATCTATATGTATCATTTTCCTCGCATAGAGATTGTAGTAGTTCTTGGTAGGAGGGAACCCAGTTTGCATGTCCATTTTCATCGATCACCAGGGCTGCAAATTGCGGAATCCGAGCACCAAGCTCTATCTTAGACAATTTACTAACACCCAAACCACCCATCTTATATCTATACCCGATGAAGCTCTCCTGAGGCAACGACCCAGATCTTGTCTTAATCTTATGTAACCCAAAGGAAGAAGCTCGAATTGGTGCAGCTGATAGATCGGAGAAGAATTCAACAAGACTTCTTTGACCTCCGCAATCTGTGATTTCTTAAGTTGAAGAACCTAAGCCCTCCCTTCCTCCTGAACTTGGATTAGGAATTCGAGGTTTGAAATCCTTGTCGTCAGCGAGCTTCTTCTTATCTTTGAATAGACTGGTTCCAATAGGAGAATTTGACGAGATGGAGCGCGGGCTATTGATGGATCCATCTGTGCTGCAAGCGTCATGTTTTCTGGAAGAGAAAATTCGACCTTTGAACACCGTCCTCCTCCGATGGTGGGTCTGCTACGTCTTTGAATGGAGAAGTTGAGAAGACATCACAGATTTATCTTCGGTTTTTTCTTTGTTTTAAGTTGCCGGATTTGTTTGAGGCAAACGCCGTTAAAAGGAAACTTTAGATAAATGCAACAAATAAGGTTGAATCTATGTCAATTTGGTTTGGGATAAGGGTGTTTGGTCCTCGAAGTTGCAAAAAAGGGGTCAAATAAGTCTTTATATAGAAGATTTTGTCCGGACGTGCCATTTGAGGTGACTCCCGGTGGAATTTTTTGATGAAATTTTTTGAGCATCTTATTCATTAAGTCTAGTTTACTCATACCAAATTTCAGCTAAAAATTCAATGGGGAAGACATTCAAATGAATTCTTGAAGATAACTGTGCCGTCAAAAGCGCTGTAATCTTCAAGAATTCATTTGAATGTCTTCTCGATTGAATTTTTAGCTGAAATTTGGTATGAGTAAACTAGACTTAATGAATAAGATAGCTCAAAAAATTTATCACAAAATTCTACCGGGAGCCACCTCAAATGGCACGTCCGGACAGAATCTTCTATATAAGGACTTATTTGACGCCTTTTTTGCTACTTCGAGAACCAAACTGACCCTTTACTCAATGAGAAAATTAACGGGCGTATGACTAAAAGATATATAGTTTCCCAACGTATGACCTCAATAGTTTATTTCCTGAAAACATGCGTAAATGGCATGCCATGTTTTAATCGGTTATCAAGCATTACAATTATTCACGCTTCTACCCTCAAACGAATTTGGAAAAAAATAAAATGCAAACGTTTTGGGAGCTAGTTTTTCGGCCATCTCAATCACAATCCACTATCACGTATTAATCTCAAGGACTAAAAAATAGGGATTAACCCATTAATGTAACCGCTGCATTAATCAAGAGTTTTTATTTTTTTCGCCACTCATTTCTTCATTCCCCGTACACCATCTGCGACCTCTTCTTCAACAATGAATTCTGTTACCGTGAATCACCCGGAAATGTGGATTCTGATCAGATATGATGGGCAATGGGTAACGAATACTATTTTTTCCAGTCTTCATGTAGGCGCTATAACTATACCGGTTGATTGTACGTTTGCTTCTCTACGTTCTTTTGTGTATTCTGCTATGGGGGAGGATTACGCAGGCAAGAAGATATTGATGTCGTACGTTTTTGCTTCATGCCCACCGCCTGTTGTTGTAAGTGACGATAACACACTTGAATTCTTTCTCCAATTGAAAAGTATTCAAAAAGACCCTATGACTATGCCTCTGTGCATTGAAATTTTACCCTCTACCCCTCCATCTCCGTCAAATGAGGAGCATTCAATCTCTGAAGAAATTCAAAGTCCCTCAGTTGGCCACCATAATGCACGTCAACCTGTTCTGGAGGATATCAATATTGTTGAACATGGTGGCTGGTTTAACAATGAAGGCATTGAGGGCAGTGAATTCATGCCTTTGGACAGTGATCTGGACCAAGTTGGTAATCTATGCAATGATGACATTATTAATTCAGAAGAATTTATTGATAATGTCAACCAAAATAGGTCCATCATATCCCACCATGAACCCACTCGCATTGCACTTCATGCCATTTATGGAAGCAAGAAGGAACTTGATTTTCACTTAAAGATGTATGCCATCACCAATTTCTTTCAGTATAAAACGAAGACATCTTTCCCAAAGGTTTTGCATGTTGTGTGTGTTGATCACCCCAATTGCAAGTGGGCTGTGCGTGGTGTGTGCATCGACGGAGTCTCATTGTTCCAGGTTAAAAGGTATGCATTCATTTATATGAGTTTATTGCCTTGCATGTCTATTACTGCCATCTGAGTTTATTGCCTTGCATGTGTATTACTGCCATGTCACTGTTGTGTTATTCTTTTGTCTCATGCATGTGTATTACTGCCCATCTTAATATTATTTTATTAAAATATGTGCAGTGGCAAGGACATATAAATTTAATGCCCTATGCCGCTCTGTTATGGTGTCATTATTTTTTCTATTACTGCCCTATTTAATATAAATTCAAATGATTAACTCTACAGTGGCATGCACATAAAAATTTAATGTCCTATTACGTTTTTTATTATGGTGTCAGTGTTTTGATTTTTTTATATGGCCCATGAATTTCTATTACTGCCCTACGTCATATACTGTTAAAATATTTAATTGTACACGCAAAAGGACATATAAATTTAATGCCCTATTCCATACTTTTATGATGTAACTGTTTTTTAAAAAAGAAAAAAATTGGTTTAAGGGAAATAAATTCAGTATTAGAATGTGGTTATTTATATGAATGCCCTTTGTTCATATGTTATAATGCCTTCCTTTTTGCATTACGTTTTGTTTGCCTATCTCATCATTTTTTCCCACTGTCCTAAATAATCCCCTGCTTCCACTTTACTTTTACTGTGCTCTCCCCACTTTAATTTAATGACTATATATCTTATGACAGTGAGTTCTAATACGTAGTGTTTTCCCCCCATGTGTTTACGTTATTTAGTTGTGTACATTGCCAAAATATATTTTAATTGTTTTTTTTTATCTTGGGACTTTTTATTTGATCATACTATACATTTTTTTTCTTAATACATATGCATTAACTTGTGTTATTAGTTTTATTTCGATCAATGTGCATTAAATAAGATAATGCCTAATCTTATTAATTTTTTTCCAGATTTGACTCTGAGCACACATGCTCCATTGATGTGCGTCAACGAAATAGCCGTCAGGCTACGTCTAGGATTATTGCTGAACTAATCAAACACGAGTACGGTGATCCATCGAATAAGCCATACCCTCCGAAATCCGTGATGCTTGATATGCAAACCAAATATGGCATTTACATGTCATATAAAAAAGCATGGATTGCCAAAGAATTGGCAATGGAAATGGCTATGGGATCTGAAAAACAATCATATGCTCGGCTACCTTCAATGTGTCACGTGCTTGATGAGAGTAACCCAGGTTCTATTGTTTCTTATTCGTGCAAGGAAAATGGTGAATTTAAAAATTTTTTCATGTGCCTTTCTGCATGGAGGGAAGGTTGGATTCATTGCATTCCTGTTATAATTGTTGATGGGTCTTTTTTGAAGTCGTATTATAAGGGTACATTACTCACTGCATGTACACAAGATGCAAACAAACAAATATTTCCATTGGCATTTGGTATTTGTAGTGGAGAAAATACTGAAAATTGGTCATGGTTCTTCACCATGTTGAAGCATTCGCTGACGCATAGGGATGATCTATATATTGTGTCTGATCGGCACGAGGGCATTATTAGTTCTGTGCGTTCCGTATTTCCCCATGCGGAGCATGGGTATTGTGTTTACCACATACTGGCTAATTTGAAAACAAGATTTCGTGGCTCTCAAAAAAATGTGTCATGGAAGTTTTTGCAGGCTGCTCGTGTTGGATCTGTGTATGAGTGTGAAGAGTACCTTCACATGCTTGATAGTGAGGATGAACGCATTCGTATGTATTTAGAGCGGATGGGCCACGACAAATGGTCTCGTGCTTATGCCAGTCGGAATCGATACTCTGTTATGATGTCCAATAATGCCGAGTCATTAAATGCAGTTAATGTCACGGCCCGAGAATACCCAATCTGTAAGCTGATAGAGTTTATTCTTGCTAGGATGCAAAAATGGTTTTGTGAACGGCGAGAATCTTCATCGTCCAACACTTGTCGTTTATCTACACACTTTGAATCTGAACTAACAGTTTTACAAGCTATGGCGGCCGTCATGACAGTATTCCCCTCAACTCATTGTCTTCATTTCACTGTTTATATTGTCTTCATTTCATTGCTATTAAAGACAAAATTAACACTCATATGACTAAAACTACGTATTAACTACTAACCCTACAAATGAGGGTTGATCCCAATTTTGTTAACCGTAGCATCTAGCTTTAAAAAAAATCTATTATTATGTTGAGTATAATGTTGTTACTGTCTAAAGTATTCCTAGAACACCTTAATGCCGTCATTTTTAAAATTTCTGATCTTCACTTCTTATAATTACTGCCTATATCTTATTTGTGATGTCCAAGTATCTTCCAAACATAATTTATTGCCTTCCCACACTCTTTATAAGTTACATCACGTTAATGCCCTCATTTTTTTAATAAATTGTGCAGGTCAAACCATCATGCGCTTTTGAGTTTGAGGTGTTTGATAAGAGATCCCGCTCATATGTTGTCAACTTGAAGGAGCGTACGTGCACTTGTCGTGAATTTCAGCTTGATGGATTTTTGTGTGTGCATTCTGTTGCTGCCATTCGCTCCCGTCAAGGACTTTCTTGCTACGATTATATTTCAGAATACTACACAGCACATCATTGGGCACAAGCATACCTAGGCATTATTCATCCTATTGGGAGTCCGGATGGTTGGATGGTACCTTCACATGTTAGTCAAGTCACTTGCAAGCCCCCATCATGTGAATCACGACCTCCTGGAAGGCCGAAGAAAAGAAGGATTCCTTCTACAGGGGAACATGTTCGGAGACAAACATGCACTCGTTGTCACATGGTTGGACACAATCGAAAGACCTGTAGAAATCCTATTCCGCTACACATGCATTAAAAAATGTTTTTATTTGCCATTTTAATTTAAACATTGTTGCGAATTCAGTCACATTCACTAGTTTGGTTTTCTTTGATTTCTGAACATTGTGCTTAGTGTTATTTATTTCGGAATATCAATTCACTCCTCATTATTTCCCTCCAGATTTTAATACTCGTGTTTTACTAGTTTTTAAATGCCCTTGTTAATTGTTTAATTCCCTAGAGACATTGCCTCCCATTTTTTATTATACATATTCCACATCTATTACATTCACTGCCTTCCATTTTAATTTCACATGAATTCTAAGTGTTTTACATAAATGTGTCATTTTCAATGCCCAAGTGTGTTACTCGTTTATGATCTGTCATGTAACTCAATTTACTTGTCATTTTAAATTATTTAAGTGTATTTTGAAAGTTTTAGCCACCTCAATGGAACAATGTACAAAATGACATCTGAATTCGTACATAGCTACACTACTTCCAAAATGAGTAGTTTTTAAATATTGTATGTCACTGCCAAAATATGTCAAAAAAACTACTGCCTAAGGTTACTGAACAATGCCATTTTACAGCAAAATACACTCCCCCAAAAACTAAGTTTCAACAAACAACTCTTGAATAACAAATACCCGAAAACAATACTGCCGAAACCTATCCATAAATGTAGTTCACTGCAAAAACTACTTCCACATAATAAGTTTCATCAACGAAGTCCTGATTAACAAAAAACCAAAAACATTACTGCCCTACTTTATTCATGACTGTATTTCAATAAAAGAAAATACTGCCCAGATACTAAGTTTCTAACACAACTTGTGAATAAAAAAACATTGCCAAAATGAACACTAATGCCCAAATACTACTGCCAACCTACTACTACCACATCTAATCTAACAATCCAAAATGAAGCAGCAGCTCCGTGGTCATCTTCTCTCGATATCCATTCATGTCTTCTGCCCTCACTTCTTCAATGCCCTTACCCATCATCAAATATTCAGCAATTTTGATAACAAACATTCCACAACTCTCACTGTCCAGTAAAATAAAACACATCAACCAATTAACGTTTTACATTACACCGAAAGTAAACAATTTTAAATATTACATTGACACCCACATACCTGTCTTTTTGTTGTGGACATTCTTTTACCATTTGTACCTGCAATAACTCTTCCCCTATAGGACCCTCCACACGCTCATTATACACTCCGAGCTTATCCATAAGCCTAGGTAAAAACAGTTGCAAGGTGGGTAGATAGAGGTGGAGATGAATGTTAGATTCACCACGGCGAATGCTTGAGTCATACACTCTAATGCATTTTTCAGTTATGTCTAGCACAAGAAGGATCCAATGGTTCCCTGTATTCAATGGCATGTAGACAAAGTCCGACTCAGCCCATGACAGCCCGTACTCCACATTCGTCCCAAGAATCACACCCATGATTGATCTATTTAGAGCAGTTTCATACTAACTACCTTTCCATTTATTAAGAATTCAATTTTACTCTTATCTTTGAATGCATTCACTCGCTCCACATAATTTGCAATTAGGAGTATAAGCAATTGCCCATTTATCCATTTCATATTTCCTATATCGAGCAAGTACCCAAACACCGTTTTTCTAAACTCTTCAATATCAGCATTACTTAAATTTGCCTTAAGGGTCTTCACTGCCTCATGGGGATTACAATAGCAATTAATCCTCAGCTTTTCATCTTTCAGAGCTACCGCATCAAAGTCGCACATCCTCACATACCCCTGTAAATTCAAGATTGTATATTTGTTCATTATAGTTTCTATTACACTCTTTCAACACTGCCCTTACAGCACATACTAAAAACATGCATAAAAACTATCCTGAAGCCTACAATATCACTTTCACTCAAATCTTACACAAACATCACATATAATTTGCACAATCTAATTCGAATGACAAATTCATACACCAAAGTGCTATCCGTACTTTTTCATGCATGTCCAAGTTTCACTGCCTTTCATTACTGCCTTCATTTAAGGCCCTCTCATTCTTTTTAATATTCGGTTTTACAAAATTCTAACCCCAATCTCATCCTAAAATACAAGAAATTTAAACACTTACCACACCGTCAATTGTGATTACAGTTGCTGGAAGCCTAGGATTTGTTGTGAAATCAGGATCCACAGTGCTCGGTTCGCTCACTGCCTTCCCCTTCTCGCCGCCTTCTTTTTCCGCCATCCTATTCACTGCCTTCACCTTCCCCTTAGTATTGCTCATCTCGCCAACTGGATTGGTCATACAATCAGAGTCCGACCATTGGTCGTTGTTCGCTGCCATAGTTTCTTCCGCGGCGACGTTCCCTGCTTCAATTTCCGTCTTTTTGTTTCTTATATCGTTCCTTTCCGGCGCACGTCTCTTTCTCATTTTTAGAAGATGTCTATAATTTCGCCGGAAATTACTGCATTAAAGGCGGTTCCCAAAAAAAACGCCAGTTTCCATCGGCAGTATATAGTATCTGTCTTTTGGCTTAACCGAAACTCCTTGAAGGGCATTTAAGGAATTTTAGTATGGCTTTAATGATCCGCATCATGCCATCCGGTATGTATTGGTCATATTCAACATGTTTCAGTTTTTTTAGTCATAGCTTGGGAATAGGTTTATGTTTTAGTCATATATACGTATTTTTCCCTTACTCAATTTGATTTACTAAAAGGTAGATTCTATGGTACCCATAAGGTACCATAGCTTTGTCCACATGGACCAATAAGAATGTAGCAGTTGAATTATTTAAATCTAAATTAAAAATGATAAAGTAATGTGGTCCAATCAAATGAATGGTAGGTACGGTACCCCATATTTTAGAAAGGTACCGGAGTTGTCACCTTACTAAAAACCCTCGTGTTTAATCCCAGCTTCATTAAAAATTTTGATGTCATTTTTGGTCCTACCAAAAATAAATGGCAAAGGAGAGCAACATATATATTTCATTTTTCTAATGTTCTTTTCATATAGTTGTTACTGCCTTTTAAATAGAACTAAAACATAGCCAAATTTTACAAATATGGATGTTTATGTTTTATCTTCTAATCTAAATCTAAAAACATTATAATTGTGAGTGTTGGTTAGTATCCTTGAATTATGTCAATACTTTTAATGCATGAAGACTTGTACTTTGTTATTAAAATATGATACTCTTATATTGATGGACAAAATAACCCTGCCACACCGCTAGAATTAACTGACGGTTGCCTTCAATCCAAATCAATCCTTCAATTAACTTGCTACGTAGGCAGCATTACATTCATATTTTCAATTAGTGTTTCCTTTTTTTAATGACATTTGGTCTTTTAAGTATTTATGAACTAGTACTCTTTAAATTATTTATATTTTTTAAAGCAGATAAAATGACTAAAAGTTAGTGTTATACTTGATAAAATTTACTAAATTATTCAAATAGTTTATACTTAAACATTGTTGGCTTTAACCTTTACGGGAATTATGTTAATCACAAAACATACCCTTTATTAGTTCGAAGATTAAAGATTTGCCTAATAATATCCTAAATGAATTGATGTCAATGAGTTTCTGTCTCCAATAATTGAATTGTCCGGAATTATTGAATTATGAAGAGATTATGTTAAAATATATTTTATTACTACTTATGCCAAAATTTCGTTTTCAAATAATGATTGTGCAGGTTGATTGATAAAAGTTCAAAAATAGTCTATTAAATTGAAGTACAAAAAATATTCGTTTATTATAAAAAGTGAAATTTAAAAAAAAAAAAACTAAATTTGTCATCTTAATTCATTATACTGATACTAATATGCCAAACAATAGATTAACAAAAATGTCACAAAAAATAAAAGAAGATTAAAAGAAGCGACATGTACAAGTTATAACTCCTACATTAAGTCTCACCTTCATATATGTTACGAAATAATTACATAAATATGACCAAGATAAAGATAATTTACAAAAATATGATTAATTACTAGAGTAGTAATGAAATCATAGTAATTCATGTTCAAATTTTGAACTTAAGTTATCACAACACTACGTTGTATTAATGAATAGTCATATTTATGTAAATAAGTTTTATTTTAGTAATATTCTTGTAAAAAACCCATATGTTATTATAGTCAATTTATCTATTTTATTATAAACTTATGGTAGATATGGATTATCATCAATCTTATTTAATTAATTAGTTCAAATACCAATGTCAATGAAAGATGTTTACTATATCTAGTGACTAAAAACTACATATATACATTAATAGTGAATGTTTGATTAGAGTATCAATATATTTTGATTGGGTACGTGACACAAGCTTCAAATTATATTAAACTTGATAGATTAATGTGAAATATGGTTGTTCCCGTATAAATTATTATTGGGCATTATTAATAATAAAATTTGGGCATTGACTTACGCGCATTGCGCGTGAAAGACGCTAGTTCTCAAAATATGACTCATTAATCCCACGACAAGGGCATGGATTGAGCGTTATAGAGAGTAGAGAGGTATCAATCTCCTAATTACCTCAATGTATTGGCTTCTTACGACAAGGGCATGGATTGCATTCACAGTGAAGGTAGCAATCGAAATTGCAGTTCCTTCTCTCTTTCCTGTGACGTAATTGCCGGACGTTCTTGACAAAGTACTTTCTGGCGTCGACTACCATTAATTCACGTTTAACCAATGTATAACATGACCGAAACAATGCAAAGATCACAATCAAGATCACTGTAACGGGCAATTTGTAACTTCGTTTTCTCATGCTTAATTTATGTTTGTTTGTGAATGGAAATGGAAAATAGCATAATGGTACATGTTTGTTTGTATTTATAGCGAACTAAAATAACTAAATACATTTAAAATAGCATGTCGTTCCGTAAAATTGCTAAGGCCCTTTGACTCACCCTACTTGACAAATCTTTAATTAATGATTTGCGATCCATGAAAATAGCAACGACAATGTTACCAGTGTAACCCAAATAGTACTCCGTAAACTCCAACTAGAGACCAGCATCAGGCTGGGCTGGACCACACCGGCCCAAAACTGATGAATTTGAGTTGGGCCAGGTTGGGTTCAACATACTACGTATAAAAATTAATTAAAAGTCGGGGCGGGCCAGGCTTTTGTAACAAAACTATACCCCCAACGTGTGTATATAGTTTGGGTCAAGGGTTCAGGCCGGGCTGGCGCATATGTCACCCACAGGGCCGGGCCTATATGGGCTTACAAGAATAACACAAAAACTATTATCCATTATAGAATGCAATACAACCAATTAAACGAGTGAAAATACTTTATTACTTCAAAAAATGTAATAATAAAAGAATTTATTCCTAATATATATCAAAAATAAAAATCGTGGACAGAAATGTGACTCTAGTAACATTAATAACTATAATTGTATTCAAATGTTACATTCTAGTGACTATATAACTTACTAATAATAATTTATAGTCACATTTTTGTTCATAGATTTTTTATTAGTAACATTTTTGAAAAAAACCTCATAATAAATTGGGATGTTCAATTTATCCGTATTTATTTTTTTGTTGTGCACTCCTGAAAAAGAGATATACAAATAGGGAAACATCACACTTATTCTACTTTATCTAAATTTTCTAGCTCCATCACAAAGGTTTATCACCTAGCTAACAATTATCTAGATTTTCATTCTCTTATACCAATTTATCTATATATCTAAGTTTTTGAAAGTTCCTTTACTTTTATATGTTACTACCTCCGTCCCATTTTATATGTCTCCTTTAGTTTTGGCACAATTTTTTAAAAAGTGATTGAAAAGGTAAAAGTTGTGGTTTAGGTTTGAATATAGTAAAGTGAAATGTTGTGAATCATATATTTCTTTCCAAAAGGGAAAGATGACACTTATTTTGGGACAACCAAAAAAGGAAAGTAAGACAAGTAAAATGGTACGGAGGGAGTACTAATTATAAAGTTAAATTAATAATGCATAAAACGCTTTTGGGCTGGGCTAAGTTGGGTTTAATAGGCTGGACTGGGATGGAGCTTCACAGGCCGAGCCAATGGACTGGGCCGTTTTCAAATATTCTATCCCATTCCCACCTCTTCTCCTCTTCAAATAGTGGGATGGACCAGCCCATGGCCTTTATGGGCCGGACCAAGCTTTTTGACAAATGGCCTTTATGGGCCTTTATAGGCTCATGAGCCCATGGACTAAATAATGATCCCTGACTCCAAGGTTTTAGTGGACTTCAATTCTGTGATTGTCCGGTCTGATTTAATTCGTTTTGCTTTAGACTGATCTAGTCTGATACATGTCTATTATATTTATTTTTTGCAACTCTCAAAGCCTAACTTGTGCGGTCTCGTGTAGATTACTTAAAAAACATTTGCGCGCTTTTTTGAAAATAATGTAGGGAAAATGGTAAAAGTATTACCTTACAATTAATTAACTAATTAATGTATTTGTATTTTAGTTCCAATTCCTATGCAATCCACTCATGCCTCCTGCACCACCTCCTCCTCTAGGCTCTAGCGACATTTGCCAACGTTTAATTCACAAGAAAACATTTTTAGCGATTACAATGACATGTTTCAGTGGTTTCACGGCATGAGTGACGGGTTGCAGCTATAATATAAATAGGGAAAAGTACAGAAATGGTACCTGTGGTTTGGGCCGTTTTCAGTAGACCTGCACAAAAGCGGGCTCGGGCCGGGCTTTTCATAAGTTTTCTGCCCATCGTGTGTGGGCGGGCCCGGCCCGGCCCGCAAAAACGGGCCTAACCCCATGTCCATACCCGCCCGTAAGAGCGGGCCGGGTAGTCCACCGGGCCGCCGGGCCCGGGAAAACTTTAAATTTTTCAAAATTATATAATTTATTTAATACTTTTTAAATACTATTACAACATTTCAAAAATTGCTAATACGCTTATAATGTATATAGGCCTTTCATCACATACACAAAAAATATTTACACAAAAATAATAATGAGAAACTATATCTAAAATTTAAAATTCATGCACAAAGTATTATCTTTAAGTACAAAAATAGATATTATATTGGTTGGACTATTTGTTAAGAACTAAAAACTTAAATTTAAACATAATAAACTATAAATATATATACAGATAAATGAGTAAATATAAAAATATACATGAGAACATGTAAATAAATACATAAATTAGTATATATATACTAAATGTAGCGGGCCGGGCTTATCGGCCCGAACGGCCTACACCCTAACCCAAGCCCGCCCATATGTTGTTGCGGGCCGGGCCGGGCCGGGCCCGGGCCGGTGGGTAAATATATATGCCCAAGCCCGTTAATTTGTGCGGGCCGGCCCGGTTTTGTTCAGGTCTAGTTTTCAGATAGGGGCACGTGTTTCATTTTTTAACAAAGTGAGCCATGTGGTTCAATTCCGTTATCACAGCTGGGGCATGGCGTCTAACGCCATCAGAAAAATTAACTCCGATTTTTAAAAGTCTCCGAAAAATTAAAAGCAAAATACTAAGAGGTGCGCCTCGTCAAGAAGACCTCCAGACCACCTTTCTTTTTTTGTTAGCAGCCACCCAGTCGCCAGAAAGTCCATCGGAAAAGTGATATTAGCGAATTCTTTTTTTAAAAAAATTCCAAATCCAGCCGAAAAATTCAAAGAGAACAATAGTTTGTTGATCTCCTTGACGAGGTGCACCTCTTAGTATTTTTCTTTTAACTTTTCGGAGACTTTTGAAAATCAGAGTTAATTTTTCTGACGTCGTTAGACGCCGTGCCCCAGCTGTGATAACGGAATTGAACCACATGTCCCACTTTGTTAAAAAATGAAACACGTGCCCCTATCTGAAAATGTTCCAAACCACATGTACCTTTTTTGTACTTTTCCCTAATATCTATTAGTGACATAAAAATTTGACATTGCTTCTGGTAAGATTGTTATAAGCTCAAGAGCTTTTTTATATTTGTGGTAAAGGTGTTGGAGATAGAAGCATGGTTTTCCAAAGAATCTTGGGGATGACTAAGACTGAGGTATAAAGGGGTGAACAGATATACTTTTTGGTATATCCAAAAAAGAAAATGTAGCAAACATTTCAATTGAGAGGGAATATTGATTTTTTTTCAAAATTGAAGTTGATAAAAGTTATTCTTGATAAACGATAAAATAACATTTCAAGATTGGCTATGTAATCAATTGAAAAAAATGCTAGGTTCTATTGATTGTAGCGATATTCTTACTAATTTTTCTCTTCAAAAAATTAAAACAATACATTATTAGAATATTTATGTACGAAGTACTTTTTATCAATTTTGGATCATTTTTTAGAAGAAGTACTCTCCCATTAATATAGAGTAGTATATGATGTTGAATAAAATATACTCCATTATATTTAAATGAAATGGCTATTCCACTGTCGATTGTCTAGGGGTAGGGCCTCTTCCCTGCTAAATATTTTTGGTACCACTTATTATTACATGGCATGTATCTTATCTGTTGAAAGTCTTTTAAGTACTCTTTCCATCCCAATTTGATTTGTAAAGTCAATAGTTTTTATCAATCAATTTTAGAGCTAAATCCTCAATATTGATAATTAATTCAATTTTTAATAGATAAAATTAACATATTCAAAAACTACATTAAAATCTTTTCAAAGTTGCAAACTCCAAATTAGAATATAATTCAAAATTGGCATCCTAATCAAGAGCCTGTTTGGTGGCTCTGTTTTTTTTCTTATCAGACTTATCAACCAACTTTTAAACCAAACACGTTATTTTTTATTTTGCGCACTGAATTGTGTAATAACAAGAAAAAGTAAGGTTGGAGCTACTTTTATGGTTGTATTGGCTGCAGCTACTGTAGATGACCATTTTAGATATTTTTCATATAATTTTTTATTTATTTCATTAATGAAATATATTTTAAATTTAATTTTTTTATAAATTAGCAGAATCAACCAATATAGCCATTTCAACCACAACTTGATAAATTTTAGTAAAATCAACCGATTTAGTCGATTTCAGTTTTAGAAAACGGGCTCTAAGTGAATAAAATGATACTGTTTTATAAAAACAGTCAATTTTACAAGTCAATTTGGGACGGAGGTAGTATTTGACTTCGATAATATTTATAAGTTATAACATGTCATCGAGTGGCAGTCTTTCAAGCCCTTTTTAGCTAATTTAAAATTTTAAACTTATCCGTCACATGTGAACAGTGAGCTATGTAATCATAATTGGAGTGTTTCATGTTCAGATCGAAGTAATTGGCAATTGGGGACATATTTCTTCAGAACTTTTTTTCTGAAGAACAGTAGAAGCGCGCTTATATTTTTATTATATTGTCATAAAATATTGAATGATGTAGTTTTCGTTGCAATTACTATATTTTTAATCAATGGAAATACTTCTTTACATAAACCGAAAATCGATATAAATCAAACCAATCAAACGTGATTTCAAATTTTGAAGAATAAAACGTAACACAATCGAACTATTTATATTGGTTCTCATTTCATTTTGGATCAAAATCGAAAGTGAATCGAATCCACCTCTAATTCTTGCTTGCGGTTTTTCTCTATTAATGTGACATAAATTTATTGGGCTATTCATTGATCCTACATGTGATTTAAACCGACTCGACCCGAGTCCACCCCTAACAAAGCAGTCATGTCTCTCTAAAAGAAATCTTTTCAGTGTGTTACTTTTAGAAGGGTGTCCTATCATGATATTTTCTGAATTTAATTCATGATACTATCTGAATTTAATTTGTAGCTAGCTACTGTAATGAGAAACTATCTAGTCCGTATAACATAGGTCCTTGTCATAGTAGGTACACACTCTAGCGCGCTATATTCCGCCAACTCTAATATGATCAACGTCCAATTTAATTACTTCAATTCACATAACTGTCAGACCACTAGCTGCTCAACTTCTCATGGAGTGTATCCCTTTTCATAGATAAAAGAGTACTCGTATTTAAGAATTCCATCTTCCTTACAGGATGGACGGCTGGATTAGGTAGGTGGAGTTTCTAAATATATGCCTAACTAGCTACCTACGTGACTTCCGAAAAGTGATTTACTGGAATATATATACCAATTGCAAATTAGTAGCTGGATCAAAGAGCAGGACAATGTTCATATACAACAGCTAGTACTCTCCTTTCACAATCCATGATATAGAACCGCCCTCAAATAACATTGAGCAATCATTTTATCACCTTCCGATCCTTTTGGTCACGATTTTCTCCAAGTACAGCTGGATATATTGATATATTCCATGTATTGACTATTGATATTTGCGGACTTGTCTTTAGTAAACTAGGTATTCCACTCGTTGGTAGCTGCTTTGTCGAGAACTACTCGGAGGCAGGAGCTTTTGCACTCATTCTGACCACCAAATTGGAACTGCCATGAAGATTAACACTAGTTTCATATTGTCCTTTTATTTTATGATGATGATGTTAGCAACTACACACGCGAACACGTTAAAGGCGATACCAAAAGCCACAATTTACGGTATATCATCTACAAGTAATTTGTTATATCTTTAGTGCATTGATCTTTGGTAGTTTTTCATCAAGTTCCAAAATAATTCACTTCCCCTTTTTTACAAACAAAATTGAGGTTTACAACATTTTCTTATACATTACGGAGTATTCACAAGTCTCTATTGCACCACCCTCGTTTTTTTGAATGTTTACATTTTTTGAGAAGTTACTCACTCTTGGTAGATTCTAAAAGCAAGTTTGTTGCCTTTAATGTTAGTTATTCACAATGTATAACTTGTTATGCCAAATAAAACTTTATCAAATAGACATTTTTAACCAAATAAATACAATATTATTCTTTTAATATCTTTTTAGTTTTAAAACTAATCGCAACTAATATTTAGAGATAGAGTATTAATACTAAATAAATAGTTTACATGGATTAAAACACCCTCAACATATTTTAATCATAGTTTTCTTCCGCTCAATAATATAGCTCCTCTCTACATCATTGGTAGCCTCTGGTATGTAACTAGTTCGGGTTTGGTCTGAACTGATCGGTTTGATTCGGTATGATTTTTCGGTCTGGATCATAATGTTCTCACCTCTATCTGCTCCTTTTCGATGTCCTCTTTCGCTAGCTTCATCGCTCGCTTCCTATTCATCACTGATCAGTGGCGGAGCTAGAAAAATGACTCATGGGGGTTGAAACTCACCTATATACAGAATGAAATAATAGATAATTTTAGACAATGCATGGCCGAGTTGAATGTTTCATATATAACTTAGATAAATGGTACTCCGTACTATAGATGAGATTAATTGAGTTATAGATTTGATATATAAGTCATAAATTAGAAACATGTTTTATACGAGTTTAGTCGACGAGTTCTCGCACCGGTGACTGCCTCATATGAGACCATTTGCCTTACCTTGAAACTCAATACTTCCGCTTTCAACCGGCTTAATATCAGGTTTTTCTTATGAGAAAACAAAAGACTATTAAGTAGACACTCGTAACAGTAAGTTATGTCATCTTTTCTCAATCTCTAGATCATGTCACGTAAGTAATGAGTGATCCATTCCTGCTCTCATTATTACTACCTCTGTCCCCCTAAGTTTGGGACAAAGGGGTGTGGTGTGGTTTTTAAGAAAAAGTAGAATTGTGTGGTTGTTATTGAATCGATAAAGTGTGAATAAAGTAAGAATAAATTCTAGCCACTCAAACATTATCTAATATGATATGAGACAAACTTAATGGGAAGGACGAAAAAGGTAAAACGGGACAAACTTGGGGGGACGGATGGAGTAATTTGCAGTCAAATTTACACGAATATATATTCATGTTAAGTATAGAGCTCTTTCGTGATCCTGTTTTTCTGGTTATCGGGTTTATCAACCAAGTTTTCACTAAACACGTGACTTTTGATTTCACGCTGAATTGTGTAATAATAGAAGAAAAAGTAAGGTTGAAGTTATTTTTTTTACTGTATTGACTGAAATTACTATAGAGAATCATTTTAGTTGTTTCTTCGTACTGGGTATACTTTTTTCTTTATTTTATTAATAAAATAATACGTATACTTTGAATATAATTTCTTCATAAATGAGTCAATTCAATCATTTCAGTCAAAATTTCAAAAACAAATTAGCAGAATCAAGGAATTGTAATGTGGTAAAATTTTCTTATACGGAGTATTTTTCTACAGGGTATGATGTGCACCTAGACAGAATCATTCCACTCTGTGTGGTGATTGTCATCCTCGGTGTGATAGCTGTTGTTCTCTTTAAAAAAGGATTTATTGATAGCTATGGTCTCACACTAGCTCTTTGGACATTGCTACTGTTTGCCAGCGAAGTTCTAGACGCATGGGATGTTCGAGCAATAACCTTTCTTTTAATCTTGATTCACATATTGGTCAACTTATTCGGGCTGCTATTTTGGATACGTTTAAGTGTTACAGAGTATACCACAAAAAAGACATGGCCTTCAAGTGAAATGCTTTTCCAAGTTGGAGTCTGGTTTGTGATGTTCGTCTTCAGCTGGATTGAATACACTGTGCGGCGGTTGCTGGGAAACGATCGATACTATCGAGTATACCAACTGTATCCTATTGGAATAGCTCTTGTAACGATGGTTGAAAACTATTGGTCGAATAGAAGGGAAATCTTTGCCGATCAATCGAAATTGCGTATCACTGAAAACATGACAGCCTTTGATGATCTTGTTCGAGCTTGTGCGAAACTAGTCCCGAGTGGCAATATATCCGAGCTCAACCAGAAATGGAACGATTTCACGGAAGTGTTTTTTGCTTTAGTAGCCCAGCGAAGGGAAGCTTTCATAGTGCTTCAACAAAGAAGTGACCAACAGTGGACTCCCCACACTACCCGTTCTAGACCAGTCCGGTGTAAGAGGCGGTTCAGGCTCAGTTGTTTCAAGAACCGACGCTAATCTGGGGCGTTTGACCAGTAGGAGAGGTCTTTGATTCAACTTACTTAGAATGAAATCCAAATTCTCTTTTCATCATCAAAACTCTTTCAAGATAATTATCCGATCCATTCTAAGCTAAAATCCTCAATAATGAAATGTCATCCTTTTTTAATAAATTAAAATATGGTTATTTATTGTGGAGTACTCACTCTTATGTTATTGCTTGCATGCCATATGCTTTCACTCAAATCCTGGTGTACCCCAACTTCAAGTAATAACTTAGAGCATCTCCAATCCATAAGGTCCATTGTAGCTCATGTGGCAACATTTTGCACAAGGTGCATTTACCATGTGAGTCAAAAATACTAAATGGAGAGAGTTCATTTGGACATCTCTCCAATGAAACAACAAAAACTCAAAAAAAGAAAACAGCAAAAGAAACTAAAATTAAATAAGTGGATGCCTTTGCTCATAGGCCCACTCTTTTCCCCCTTGATGTGTCAGAAGGTGGAGACCGAGGTCCAGAAGTAGACCTTCGGTGAGACTGAGCTCCATTTTTTGGTTTGCCACATAAGCTTCTTTGGGTTTATTTTTTTTACTATTGGAGAGAGCATTTGTGATTGGAAAGAGCACCTGGTGATGTGGAAGTGCAATGAACCTCTCCATTGGAGAAGTTCTTAGAATATTACAAATAGATACTACGTGCTTAACAATAAATCATGATGAAATACCACATTTATCATCCATAAATACGTATATATCGTAAAAATGGACACCATACACATTTATCTTATGGAGTAAATAATGATAATATATCTTGCATGTAGTACTATGATATTTGAACGGTTAACATACTTTTCCTGATTATAATTCGTTCTACTTAAAGTGTTTTATAGTTCATTTAAAGATCTTATCGAGTTTCAAAATCCGTTTCTAGACTTCGTTTACAAAATAACAAAGGATAGATATTTTTTTTCATTTTAAGCATTTTTAACTCGTTGGATAATTTGTTTTGAATTCTAAAACTAGCGTTTGCACTTCATTTAGAATGTATTAAAGAATAGGTAAAAGATAACTTTTATTTACTCTGAAAACGCTATATTATAGAAAATGCACTAAGTATTTGCTTTGACCATGAGTGAATAGAGCATATATTTGACATAAATATAGTCATGAATTAGAAATTCGGTTTATTAGATAATCATCTCGTATGTAATATATATTTTTTAAAATAAAGACTGGTTGATGTATTTTGTTGCGCTGCAAACGTTTTTATCTCGTTGGATATATCTCATCGCCTCCTGAGTGGTGTGGGATCGATTTAGTTAGGGCCAGAGATTGAGCTATGGGCCTTCTGAGGTCTTTTTACTACACAACTATACTCCCCTCGTCCCCTTTTAAATGTCCCGTTTTACCATATTGGGATGTCCCTATTTAATTGCCTCATACCTTATTTGGTAAACTTTGTGTGGCTCAAAATCATTCTTACTTTATTCTTACTTTATCAATTAATATCAACCACACAAACTCACTTTTCTTAAAACCCGTGTCACCATCTCCCGTCCCATTTAAAAGGGGACGGAGGGAGTATATTGTAAGCATCCCCAACATGAAAAGTTACAGCTTTCAAATTGTTCTATTTAAGTCAAATAGGCTTTATTTACTTATTATAGAAAACGGGCTTGGTCAAAGCGGATGCAAATGGATGTAGGATTTGTTTGCAACCACTTGTGCTTAAATAAAAGCACTTTTGGGGAAAAAGTGATTAGTAGTAAAAATTGGTAGTGTTTGGTAAAATAAGTGTTTTTTGTGTAATAGAAAAAGTAAAAAGTAGATTCTTCACAGAAGCCGAGAAAGTAAAAGTTGGTAGTGTTTGGTAAAATAAGTGTTTTTTTCTTAAAAAAAGTTAAAAGCACTTTTTTAATGGATTGCACCCGTAGTGAATGTAAAGTGAGAATGGAAATCTCAAAAGAAGGATGTAATAGTATATACTATGTAGTTGAAACATATTTTTGAAGTTAGGGGCCCCGATTCTCGCCAATGATTTTTAGAGCCCGTTTGGTAGCACTAAAATCGGCTGTTTTGGCTGATTCTGCTGAAATTTATGATATTCTGGCTGGAGTGGCTGTTTTGGCTGATTCTGCTGATTTAAGAAAAAAATATTTTAAAAATATATTTTATTAATAAATTAAAGAAAAAATTATATGTAAAAATAGCTAAAATGGTCCTCTACAGTAACTTCAGCCAATACAGCCAGAAAAGTAACTCCAACCTTACTTTTTCGGCTTATTACACAATTCAGCGCGCGAAAGTAAAAGTTACGTGTTTGGTGAAAAAGCTGGCTGATAAGTCTGATAAGCCGAAAACAGAGTTCTCCAAACGGGCTCTTAATTTCTTAACAATACGTACATTATCCTTTACTGTTTTGCAAACGGTCTGAACTCTGAACACGGGTTTTAGAACTTTGATATCTTTTCAACGAGATAAAAATGCTTGCAACTCAACAAAATACACACCATAGAAATATTGATTTTTTAAAACTTGGAATGGATCATAATAAAGGCAATAAATTGACCGAATCCAATCACCTAAATCCACTATTTTAATAACTGTACTGATGATCCTTTCTCCCTCAATCTCAGGGAGATAAAGATAGCACTTTTAAGTTTAAGAACATGTTTACTTCACGAGTTATTAAATGGTGCTTATTAAGGTCCGCGTTAATAAGCGGCACATAAAATAAACAATGTTGTAAGATCATGTTCACTTCAAATGGTTTAAAACACCGTTTAACATTAATATGTCCAAAATGACCTCATACATATATAGACACACAAACATTCATGAACAAAAGTATATAATATAATATGTAGGTCAACTCGTACATGTACCCATACCCCTAACCCATACCCCGCCCTATACCTCGTACCCCTACCCCACCCCCCAATTCCACACCCTTGACCCCTACCCTTACCATTACCACGACCTTACCATCTACACCTACTCCCCTGCAACCCTTCATACCCACCCATACCCCTAACAACTACGCTACTTGTAGGGGTGAGGTGGGGGGAGGGTTGAGGTAGGGTAAGAGGGTACGAGTGGGCTGGGGGTGGGGTTATGGTCTAGGGTAGGATGGTTAAGGGCTGAGGGTAGGGGTGGATGCATATATGTGATGGGGTAGGGTGGGGTCGAGGTAAGGGAAGGTGGTAGGGGGTAAAGGGGTAGGAAATGGGCGTGGTGGGGTAACGGGTATGGTCGGGGGATGGGTAGGGTGGTAGGGGGGTGGGGTATGATGACGGTAGGGTGAGGTCAGGATCAGGATCGGGTGGAGCGAGGTAGAGGCAAGTGGTAGGGGTGGGGTAGGGTCATGGTTAGGGGTAAGGGTGGGGCTAATGGGTAGGGGTATGTGGCAGTGGGGTCGGGGTGGGTCCGAGGTAGGGGCATGTGATAGCGGTAGGGTAGGGGTGGGTGTAGGATGGCAGTAGGGTGGGGTCGGGAACGAGGTGGGGCCGAGGTAGGGGCAAGGTGGTAAGGGGTGGGGATAGGGTAGGGTGGGTTGGGTCGAGGTGGTAGTGGGTGGTGGTAGGATGGCAGTAGGGTGGGGTTGGGATCAGAGTGTGGCCGAGGTAGAGGCATGTTGTAGGGGATGGGGTGGGGTAATGGTCGGGGGTAGGGGTAGGGTAGGGGTAAGGTACGAGGATGGATGTAGTGGGTAGGGTGGGTCGGGGTCGGGGTATGTAGTAGGGTAGCGGGAAAGGGACCGAAACTGAGAAAGTTTAAAGTGCCGCTTAATTAATACATGGGGGTTATGCTTAGTAAGCAGCACTTTAAGCACCTCTTTCGGTTTGTAAGCAGTTTTTTAAGCAACATGCATGTTTACTTCATCTGTCTTACTAACCTAATTGTGACTTTAGTAGCAAAGTAAATACCTTCTAATTGTATAATTTCTATTCTTGTTGCATTACATTTTATGCTCATCGGGTGACGGGATGTGGAAGTCTTGAATATCTTCTCACGGGACGGTGTATATGGAAAATGAAGTGCAAAATCAATCTAGAAATCTAACATGTAAGCTAGCCAAATCGATGTATGTTTGGTTAACGAAACAACTAAATAGCAATGAAGATAGATAAAACGATAAAGCTAGAGGGGGTAAGCAAGGGCATTGAAGGAACAAGGTGGGATTGAGGGTAAGAGATCAAAATGGGGACACTTGGAAACATATCATGCAACAACGGGATGGGTATATATAAGTTCCTTTAATTTGTCACTCTCATGGTAAATGGAGTACTAAGGGCTCCTATTGTCCATTGACATAATCCTATAACAATCCAAAATCATGCAAAAAAAACCAACAATTTTCCTCTTACCTTCTCCCATTCTTATAAAGAGGGGTAGTGTGTGTGTGTTTGTGTTTGTGTTTGTGTTTGTGTGTGTGTGTCAAAAGGACCCCTACAAGTCCCTTTGAGGACCAAAACAACATATAAGAACATTGTGGTCATCAAAGTCTTAGAAATTTGAAGAGTCATTTTCACAAACACATAGTGCGCATAATATATTTTTAAAATTCCTCCAAATCAAACCGCAAAACCTATAACCTCACATGGTTGAATGATCTCACATGGTTGAATGATCCTCAAACATCCCCAATCTCTAATCCCACTATAGACTCATGCTAGATTTCATATTCATAAAGCATATGCAACACGAACTCATGAAGTGGGGCAATAAGATAATTATTGACTTTACTTTAGGACCACTATAAAAACAATGTTGTTCAGCTTGTTCTACTTTAGAGCATATGAGACACCGGGATGGTCCTTGAATCTGAAATCTTTTCATGTTTTCTGAAAAAGGAAGATAGGAATTCAAATACTTCCATAAGAATATCTTTATGAGTTGATGTTGAGTTTTTTTAGGAACCCATGCCTTCCTGTATTGGGAGTAACTTATACGGAGTAGTTTAAACCATATGACAAAGGCTTTCAACAATCTCATTTGAGTTCTTGCAGGATTTTACAAAAGTTATTTTTTAGCTTCTATTAGTCACTTGTTTAATTATGTCAGAAAAAAGGGTTGCTTATTAAGATAACATCACTGACTCACTGTGAGTTTAGGATTGCATCACTATGGAATTCACTACATTCAAAAGAGGAGATGAATTATGTAGTTTCCAATTGATCAGGTAAGTTAATGCTCACAGAATTTAGTTTAATGAATTCTTATCAAGGTGTAAATATTGATGAGATGCGATGTGCTA